GGAGACCTTCGGTGATGTTAGAAGTTCCTAAAACTGCACGTTCTCCGTCTCCTGTGTAGACCTGGAGGAGAAAGGAATGCGTTGTATTATACTTTCACTTCGGGCAATTAATGAGTGGACTAAGACTCAGTAATGTACACTGAAATATCACGAACCACTTTGCTGTGAATATAAACAGTGTATTAGCATGCCCTTATCACACAAGCGCACAAGGCAACATGTCATAGAAAAAGCAAAACACAGAACCCCTGGGATACCATCTAATTTGTAATTTCTTTTGCTGATTTATAATTATTTACATATGTAAAAGGTGAGATGTCATAGTTTCATAGAGGGGACTCGGTGGGTAGTTCACTTTTTCACTTTTTTTAAGCAGGAGTTAAATAGTCGTGTAGATAGTAACAAACATTTAAGTACCGTGTTCATGTCTGAGTAATTATCTCATCTCTCGTCTCCTTTTTATGCATTTTAAAGTGTCACAGTCGGAAGGAAAGACGTATATCAGACACTCAACTTTGCGTGAACTGTCTGTGCGCTTGTTGACTCAGATTTTGCCGTTAGGTTGAGGTATTAAGAGGTCTCAGGTTAATTTATCCATTGATATCAGCACATAATTAGGTTTGCATCTGAATGAAAGCTGGAATTTTGACCTCTGGAATTCCGGCCTCTGAACCACTTTCGGTTAATGACCATGAAAGTTGCGATCTCAAGTTGCGACTGTGTGCTTGACAGTTTCAAGAATACTCGGCCGCTTGAAATAACATTACTTCCCATGTTTTTTGCCAACGAACCAACGAAACGCTGTATAAACCAAATTCGCCTGCCAAAAACCATAATTTCCATTTTGTTGCCTTTGCCGGCAGATGATTTCCCTGCTTCGAAATACGACTACTGCTACTGTGATTCGTTTCTAAAAGATGAAAATGCGGTTTTAATCGATTTTATTTCATGTTTAGTGCGTCAACAACTTTTATTCTTAGTCACTTCGGGCCAGGATTTTAGCTGTGGCCATGTCAGAAAAAAAAGCTGTGGCTATTTCCTAACCTTGCTGGTCAAGTCTCCGTTGTAAATAATTTTTCCCTGCTATTTAACTTTATCTACTGTTGCTTGGTCTATTTATTTTAAAATGTCTGGGTTTTTAGGTTACTTGTTGAAATTTACCACGAGTTTAGGTAAAGTTAAAAAACCGCAAAATAGGAAAGTGGAAATCCATATTAGCAAAAAATATGTTTAATATATTTTTATTTGATCAGTTTCATTGTAGATTTGTAATAAATATTGAAAACAAACTTTGTGGTTTTAATTATTAATTTGGTGGAATTTGGGCTTTCAAAGACCTCAGCCGTTCAGAGGTATTAAAACGCTATTGCATTTTTGCCGTCAAATACGAATGATAATAATTCTCAAAAAATTTTCGGTTATCGGCGGATCGATTTGTACTTTTTGATCCTCCAAGTCTACTTATAGGTGGATAATGTTCAAATCTTGTTTGAGTATTTGGACGTCGTTCTTCTGCCTCGAAACTAATGTTAATTTTTTGTCAGTACATAAGCTGTGGCTGTAGCTCTGTCAGTTGTCTCACAGACTACTCAGATGAGTTTGTGGAAAGGGATGCCACGAGGAACGAAATCCCACAAACACTGATCGTAGTAGGTCAATAGCAGAAGCGTCTTTGACAAGAAATTTATACAGCAATCGATTTTCGAATTCCATGATTCAAAATCATGAATAAGAAATAACTATCGATGGATTGCTGTGTGTGTATTCCGATTTAACTCAGCGAGGAAAAAAAAGGCTTCATCTTATGGGGTGTTTTGATTTTGGCACAAGCGTTCCCCCCCCCCCGAAAAAAAGAAAACAAACAAACAAACAAACAAAAAAGCCGGCTGTACCAAAACAGTAGTGTTTTGAACAATGTAGAGGAAAGATAACGTGTTTGACTTGCATAAAACTGGGCAACACTTGCAATCATAAGAATACGGGAAAGGGAAAGCCCCTAAAATTTATATTTCACGCTGCAGCTTGAATAGCAAGCTTACTGCGCTTTTTCTTTTATTTAGTTTAACTGCAATAGCTCTTCCGATAAACTCATTGTAGATGAAAATGTTGTCTGCGAGTACTGCGTCCTTTTGTGGCAAGAGACATCAATTTTGCTTGCCCGGGCCATCAGCCGCACAGGTAACACGTGGAATACTCATTTTTAGAGAGTTTCGAAACAAACATGGTTTTTCTTCAGATTATTGCAGTATTCCATGCTCTCATCGCTGCAATCGGTGTTGCTAGAAATTTTCTGGCCATACTGACGATAGCCCTTGAAAGAAGAATTCACGTGATGCAGTTCATTCTACTCAGTAGCCTTGCCGTGTCAGACATGTTCTTTGCATCCTTGTCACTCATTTCGTATCTCGGCATATGACAGGAAGATGATTAAACGCACGAACGATGATCAATTTTGACTTTATATTTCTACCTTAACATGAAACTTCATCTGATAGTCGTTTCATGCGAGCGGTACAAAGCTGTTGTCAAATCACCTTTGACCTGTGATGGTTCGTTTTAAGTCCAGAAAGTGAGTCATCTTCCTAATCTGGTTTTTGCCGATACTATCAGTGTGTCCATTATCCGTTTGTCCAATCAAAGGCTGGGAAAGGCTTGTCGACAAGAGGGTGTTTGTTTTTGATCCAGGAAATTTCAGAGCAGCTTGACATGAATGGTTGATGAGTGTTTTTTTTCAGAACTCGATTCGTTTAAAGTAAACACTTTTGAGGGCAAAATTTTCAGTTAAGAAAACGTGACAATTAAATATGTAAAATTATTATCCAATAGAAGAAAAGGGGTAAGTTCCTGGAGAAACTGCAGTACTTCGTCGGTGGAGGGTATTAAGACGTTTTAAAATGACCGACCATGGTTTCATGATAGTTTTAGCTCTGGAGAGGATCCTCGTCAACGCGAACTTAACTCGAACGAACCTTTGTAGCGTCGAGGAAACCTTAATTTCGAAGTCTGTCTTATTTGAAATTCTGTAGGTTTGGAAAAATCGCCCTTACCATGTTGCAAGTTTTGTTCCTTTTTGGCTCTGATTCCATGATACCTATCACTATAGCAAAAATCTAATAAATAATACGATAAATATCGTTACGATCTTTCAACCGTTTAGGTTTTCAGAGTGTGTGCTTAAACGGCAGCAATCAACTCCAACTCCTCGTGAAATTTTGTCGCACCTCTTTGGCTGACGTAGAAACCAATTTTATTTTGCCGCTCTTAACACTGGCCAAGGTTTCAAATCTGTAAGAGCAGCGCATTCCAATTTAAATAATTTTCCTCCTTTACCTGATCCTCATTAATTCTATAGTTATGACAGGAAAAAAATCCTGTAAAATGCTGGGCCTCATAGTAGACTTGGAAACTTACGGATTACTGCACACGATAATTTTCCAGGCCTGATAATTTTCAGTGTCTTTATGAACAAGTGCGAGTTTGTCTATTGATATGAATAAAAAAAGACTTTTCCGCGATAATCGATTGGTCATCAATGATCGACATCTATATAATCCAACTTATTTTATTTTCTCAATATCGATTGATCGATTGCTTTCCCGATGGTCGCTTTCATCGATTGGTTACGTAACAGTGGACATGAGCGAAAAATAACGATGCAATGGGGGATCAAGCTTTTTGGGACCAGACGAGAACGATTGTCACGTTGACGGTCATAGTCCTCTAAGTCCAAGCGGTTGCTGATGATGTAATAGGCGGCTGTGCCGTAAGGCGGAAGGAGTCCAAGAAAGAGATCCTGTTTGCGGGCTAAACAGACGTTGGTGAGAAGTCTGAGAAGTCTTAAAAGCGGCGGTAGGTCGCCGGCAACTGGCTTTCATGAAACCCCTGTCTTAGCATATTGTTGATTTATCTTTTAAAAATATTTCGTTTTGGAAAGTACGACAAGAGCAAAGCAATTTGTGTACTCTTTCGGTGTGTGTGTGTATTGCTTTGATAATGCTCTTGAAGGCGTTTTCTGGCTCACATTAAATCTCCAATAAAGTCAGCTGATAAAATATTGGTTTTTTGATTAGTTCTTGTTAAGAACACCCCATAACTTGAAGCAATTGTCCTTTCGCTACAGCCATGTTTGTTTGTTTCCATTTTGTTATTTGACTATTGATACGTGATAAAAGAATAAAAAGAAGTGGACTTTCAGCACGGAGCTACGTGTGTGTTCCCTTTTTTTTTTTTAATAGTCTTTGCAAAGTTTTTATTTCGTAAATTTGCATTTGAAATTTATTTTCCAGTGTCCGCCTTCTAGAGTCCAGACACAATCGTGACGTACTGTCAGATTTACTTACCCAGCGTGATATGCACGGTGATGATGAATCGCGTGACGTGACTACTGAGCTGAGATCATGCAACAGCTCTTGTGACTTATTTGGATTGAACTTTGACATTGAACGACCGATTATTTAGTTTTCCGAAAAATACATGTAATAAAAAGACCTTAAATTTTGCCTCAGAGATCATCACGAGATGTACCCGTGAATCATGCATCATCTTAGGGTAAACCGATGCTTCAGGCATTTAAAAAAAATCAGCTTGCAAATGGTACGGTTGTAAGTTTTACACTACAACAAGGGAGCTTTGATATCCATCCACTAATCTCTTTTAACTTTACTGCCACAGGCAGTATGTTGTAGGCTGGTCAGATTAGTTCCTAAAATGTGGCTTAGCTCACTCCATAATCAGTTCCCTTTGGCTTAGAATCCGACGGTCTGGGGCGTAAGTCCTCAGGGGAGACTTATTTTTGTCTCATACTCGTGACAAACGTATTTCCATTTTTTCCTCATCACCATCAATTGTTGAATAAAAAATCTTATGAAGGTGATATGCCCTTGAATGAACTTTGAATAGACCTTTGAATTTCCTTTTCACTTAGATGAAATGGCCTGGAGGCGAGAAAAGTTTGGACCAATGAAATCGTCTCATTTGCATGATAATAACGATGGGTTCTTCCGAAGAGGCGGTCAAAACTGTGAATATCATTTCAGGATCGTACGCGAAGTGGTTGTAGTTTAAGCTTTCGCTATGGTGTGCCTTTTAATCGAAGCTTTCTCTCTTGTAGGGATCATTCTTTGGCACTTTCTAAAGTCATTTATTCAAATATTTTTCCCTCCACCTCGTAAAGACGTAAGAGGAGAGATAATTTTCCTGACTGGCGCTGGTAGTGGAATTGGTCGAATGATGGCGTTAAAATTTGCCAAGCTAGGAGCTACAATTGTTTGTGTTGATATCAATCAAATGGCCAACGACTCTACAGTTCAAGAAATAAAAGATCAAGGACTTTCCGCTTACGGTTATAAATGTGATTGCAGCAGTCGAGAAGACATTTATCGAGTTGCAGAGCTTGTGAAGAACGATGTCGGCGATGTTACGATCTTGATTAACAATGCTGGAATTGTGAGTGGAAAAAAGTTCCTGGAGACCGAAGATTGGATGATTCAAAAGACCATGGAAGTCAACACGATGGCTCATTTCTGGGTTAGTCTTTTAAATTCGTTAATAAGTAAATGAATTTGCGTGCAGCGACGATGCATGGACGGATGTCATCATGTTCGTATACACGCTAGGGTCAAACAATTTAAAAATTTATCAGTTACTCTTAATCTGTTATGGATTTTGTTTTTGGATTAGGAAATAATGAATGGTGTTTTTTTTATAGTTTTAAAACGAATCCTACTTATGTAGAGTACTTGTAGAGGAGACTTAGGGTGGGGTTCAAGGTCCAACATGGTTTTGATGATTTGAGAGGGGAGGGTGGTTTTGTTACACAAGTAGAGAGATCACCGGGTCCAAATTCTTCTTCCATACATATTTCTTTGGACTTGATCTTCAGCTGGACATTGAAAAGAGCATTGTAAACATATGGTCACACAGCTTATTTTGAACATACACAAAGGCATAGTCAAACAATTGTTAATATTTCAAGAGCTGTGGTTTTATGGTGATTTTGAATAAATTTATACTATCAGCCAAAAAGTGATGTAGAATGATTATTGGCTTCAAATGTGATTCTTTTTGGAAGAGTTATTTCTTGGAAGGCTGCTCTCAGGTCAAGGGTATTGTAATTTGTAGGAAGTAGATCCCAAGATGGTGACTTGCAAAATATCCATACCCACTAAGAGGGGCATTTTTTAGTGTTAGCCTCCCTACAACACCACAATAACATCCTTTGGTTTTACAGCTTTAGTTGTTTACATTTATTTGAAAACTTAAGCTTAAGATTTCCTTGATGCCACTTTTCTTGAAACTGTAATGACCTGCCTAGGATGGATATGTCTTGATATAATTTTTAACATCACCAGTTGTCAAAAAAACACCTTTTTTGTATTTTTACCCTATCTACAGACAAATAAAGCCTTTCTTCCATCCATGCTGGAAAAAAATCATGGTCATGTTGTTACCATTGCATCATCTGCTGGTCTGTTTGGTGTTTGTGGTTTGTGTGACTACTGTGCCTCTAAGACTGGTGCTGTTGGTATTGACGAATCCTTGATGATGGAGCTGAATGCCATGAAGATGACAGGAGTACACACAACAGTTATATGTCCATTCTTCATCAACACAGGAATGTTTGATGGAGTTAAAACCAGGTAATTGTTTTACATGTAACTGAGCAAAGATCAAGACTCATTCAGGGTTGTTTATTTCTCTCAGAAATAGCTACTTGGTGCAAGGTAATTAGCTTCTATTAAACAAATAAAGAAGCCTTGACAGTGCTCTGTTCTGTTGTAAAGTGTGCATGAAGCTATTAGAGCACAAAGTAAGTTCAAGGGAGGTCAGGAGATGTAGCAGAGTGTGTCTCCCTACTTCTTGAGTGCTCTAGCTACCTCCTAAGTGTTTATAGCAGAACAGAGCACAGTCAAGGCCTCTCTGTTTGTCTTTTAATAATGAGTCTGTCAAATTCTCCACATGTTACCTACTATTTTCTGAACAAATTTTGATTTGCAAAGTGAAAAAAGTGCTGTCAACATGTTCTATAATCTCATAAGATACTACAATAAGCTATCAGAATACATGTTAGAATGGTTCAAATAATCTGATTGGTTGAATAAGACCAAAGCTGTCAGAAGTGTCAAACCATTAAAGTTCACAAACCATCAAAGTTCACAATCTGCAGTAGTTCACCAAATGAAATAGTTCTATAGTTCAAATTTAACACTTTTACCAGAAGGATTTTAGTTTTAATACAGAATCTGGTGAAATGTTCAGAGAAATCTGGCCAAATTGTGGCTCACAAAAACATGCATGTTTTTCACATGACAATAAGAAGACAAACTGTGCAAGGGGTGTATTTTGTGAATGAACAATAGCTGAATTTACAGGAACATGAAAATTGTTCATGATGACAGTGTGGTAGAACAAGGCTGTTGTGACTGATATGGCTTTCACAAAATGATCAGAAAGAATAACAGAGCAAGCTCTTAGTTGCTCTCTCGAAGGGCTTATTGTGTCATGGTGAGACGTTTTATAAGATAAGTTTATTTGGTGACGCATGCTAATCAACACCTTCAGCAATATTTCTGCTCTGATGCAAACAAAGTTTCCTTTTTCTGGAATGCCAAAAGAGATTTTTGTCACCTTTTGACATGATAAAAGGTTGATAAAAGCACTTCAATTACAAGAACAATCACTCTAACTTTTGGAAAGAGCTAATTAAAAGTTAGTAGACTTAATGATGAATAAGCAATTTCATCACTGTTCAGCACTCTACAGTGCGTCACGCTAATTCAACAATGGTGTTGTAATCATTGATTAGGTGATGAAAAGACGTTGGCATGAAGCATCATCAATCTTGCACCTTCCATTGTACTCTCATATTACTTTTTGCTTTATTTCTCCTGAAGTAAAAAAAGATACCAATATGAAATTTTCTTTACTAGATATGAAATTTTCAGTAAATTTTAAAAAAAGACTTTTTTCCCTTCAATGATATCCTAAACACCAGGTCTGGGTTGTTCAAGGGTTGCTTAAGATAATTCAGGGTTAGTGTGAATATTATTTCAGGTCTGAAAGCTTTAAAAGGAAATGTAGTTCAAATCTTTTTGCTTGCAATATGATCATTTGATGTTCTAAAAAGGATAGGGAAAATTTTCTCTAAAAAGCTTTTGAACAAAAAAATAAAGATTAAATTTAAACCCTGGATTAAAATTTAACCCTGGGTTAGTGCTAATTGGCCTTCTAACAACTGGGCCCTCTCTATTAATTTCAGGTTCACTAGGCTAAAAGTGAATTTAGTACTAAGAACAGCTGGTTAGCAAAGTTTTAATGCCCATGACTAGCACTTAACTTGTAGACAGAGAAGGAAAGAAGTTTTTGTTTGTTACAAGTCCTTAGTGCCATGTTATGTGCAGCAGCTTTTGACATATTTAATTTTTCAACAGGTTCCCACTACTACTTCCAATTCTGGAACCCAACTGGGCCACAGATAAGATGGTGGATGCAATCCTTCGCAATCAAACCATGTTGTTACTTCCAAAAATTCTGACTTTGTTTCTCTGGATTAAATGGTGAGTGAGTGCAAGAACTGGTATTTACAATTGGAAGGTGATGTCATTCATTTTAGTCATCAGTAAATTCTCAGCCTTGGATAATCCATTTCTTGTGTTCTGACTGGTTCCTCAATATCAGTCATTAGCTTGTACACAATTTTGCCTAATAAGGACAATCAACCTTAAAAGCTAAGTTTTTTGTATGTCTCACAATGTAGTCACATGTGATGTAGATCGCAACGTTTCGACTGCATACTGCTAGTCTTCTTCAGACAATGAGGTCGACTGGTCATAGGTGATCTTGTAAAGCATGATGCTCTGCGGTGATTAGTTGTTTTTCAACAGCTCTGATTGGTGCATTCAGTGATTTGCTCCCTCAGCGGTCTGCTGTTGCACAGCTCTCCTGTTGTTGTGTTTCTTTATCGTGGGCATCCAGGCTTCTGGAATTTCTATTCCACTATCCCTGTTGATGTTGTCTGGGTGAAGTCTTATATGAATTGCCTCTTTGACCCTGCGCGCGTAGTAATAAGGGTCACAGTCAATAAACTTTAGTTCATTCCAGAGTGGCTTCGTTCCAGCAAGGATTGGAATGCACCAGTCAGAGCTGCTGAAAAACAACTAATCACAGCAGAGCATCATGCTTTATAAGATCACACATGACCAGTCAACCTCATTGCCTGAAGAAGACTAGCAGTATGCAGTCAAAACGTTACGATCTACATCACACGCGACTACATCGTGAGACAAACGAAAAACTTAGCTTTTATTGTTATTCACCACCGATGAATAACCACAATCTTTTTTTACGACAATCAACCTACCAGGTGTCTCTCAGCAGAAGTTCTTTTTCCCTTGGAGGAACACTCTTGTTCAAATCAGTGTAAAAAAGTAACAACAAATATCAATAACAGTAAGACAAACTGCAAAAGACTCATTAAAAAAATTGGTATCTATGAAGTTTCTACAAGATCAAACACCACACAAGTAAATAATGCTTTTTGTGCATGCTGATTGGCTAGTTCAGAAGTGAACAGCAAGTACTATTTGCTTCCTATTTTTTTTTCCTATCTATGTGGTTAATGCTGAAACAATTATTCACCTCAGTATTGTTGAAAGTGGTAGATATTTACCTATGGTTTATGGTTCAGTAATTATCCATCTCTGATCTACTCCACTCTAGTAAATAATTGTTAATTATTCTCTATTTATCATTGGTTTTCCCATTTAATTTGCTTGTCTGATAATTCAGGACTGAAATGCTGAAATGCATTTTCAGGTCACCATTTCCTAGCTCTACTTAAATTCTGAGAAGGGTTTGCTTCTAATTGTTTCTTTTCAGTATAATTTGTTTTTACCTTTTCAGCACTGTACCAACACCTACTTATCATGCACTGGCAGAGTTCTTTGGGACCAATGCTTGCATGGATGATTTCAAAGGAAGATCAAAGAAATCAGAATGAAGAATGTCAATACTTTGTCTTTTTTCATCAGGAACATCAACTTTGATGGGTTCTTAATATTTCATTTACCTGATTGTGAATGTGAACAAAATTATTTGATTTTAGCTTGCAAGTGTGGGTCCTTTTACAAACTTAAACAGCAGAGAAACAAAGTACCGGTAATATATGGTCTGTAAGTTATTTGGCTTTGTCAACTATGTTCAGAATTTACTAGTTGTATTTGTAACTTTATGCAAATTTCTTGTTTACTTATGGGGTTGCTCACATTTTTATCGAGTTGTTTTCTCCCTTATTTAAATACTACATGTTAAAAAATTTTTTAACTGGTATAGCAATCCTTTTACCCATTGAATTTTCAAGAATTTCAAGTAATTATTGGCAGTAATAAAAAGTACTACAAGAGTTACATTTTATTGATTACCACCTGAAAAGTACACCACTCTTGAGGTGTGCGTCAACTGAAATTTAACAGTTAAACTGGTTTTTTCTGTAATTAGTACGACCAAATAAGATCAAATATCATTGTGGTTTTTACAGTGGCTGTCAAGAGATATCCACCCAAAACATATTCTTAGCATACACCTCATTTTACATGAATTATTGTAGTATTGAGCTATTTACAAGGCAAAAATATTGAAGTAGCAGAGCAATCCTTTTACCTGTTGAATTTTCAAGAATTCCAAGTGATTCTAGGCAGTAAAATGAAGTATTGAAGACGTAATATTTTACCGGTTACTGTTTCTTTTTATTTGTTTTGCTTTTTTACCCCAATGATGACATTATTTATTTTTGCCTTGTAAAGTAGCTCATTTTTAAACCAAAGATTTTGATGGACATTAGATTAATATTGTACCTCAAAACTTATTTCATCTCCAACAAGCTATGCATCCCTTGTTATTTTAATATGAGTTAAGATATGTTATTATTATTATTTTTAATTTTAACATTTGGATGAATTTTCAGTTTGATTAGGATGACTTGTAATGATTTTCACTTTAGTTTCTGTGTAAACTAGAGTTGTAGATTTTCTTCTGTTTGAAGTGAAGTGTGAAGAGAAGGAAGGGGAAAAATCTCATAAAGATTACTTTTTCAATTTGTTATTTGTTGTGGCAGAAATGGAATAATAAACAAATCTGTTTGCAAATCATCTCTTATATATGGAGAACTTTGGTCAAAATTTTTGCTATGGTTTTGTTCTTCTATAGGTGCTAAAAAAAGTGAAATGTTGACATGGGCAGCGTTTGACATTTACTCCGCTCTTTATCCCTTACCCTTCGCTATACACCCTTCACCCTCCACCCCTCACCCTTCACCCTCCACCCCTCACCCTTCACCCTCCACCCTTCGCCCCTCACCTTTCACCCTTCACCATTCACCCTCTTTCTTCGCCCCGCAATCCCTTACTCAGTGATTGTTAGAACCGAAGGCCTCTCGCAGATCCTGGTTATAGACTCTTGGTGTTTCCTTCTTATCGTCCCACGCTCAGAACGGTTCAGATAACGTCTTTCTTCATTTTACGACCGAATTGAATATTTAACATTCCCAGACAGCTTTCTTGAGGCATTGGTGCAAATGGAGTGAAATCGGAACCACTGTTCAATGTTCGTTTTTCTTTGCAAGTGATACTGATCTCCCAGTAAAGTTCTTTTGACAGTCTTGATATGACTGACTAATGTGAAGGCAACAGAACCTCGGCGTGATCTTGAAGAAATGTGAAATGGTTTCCGTTTTTACATAGCCTGATGTAAACACGTGGGAGGTTGGGAGAACACGAGATAAGCTGGAAACCACTCCGTTTCGCGTCGTGGTTTCCTACGCTTATCTCGTGTTCTCCCAACCTCCCGCGTGTTTACATCAGGCTATGTAAACACAGAAACCATTTTACATTTCTTTTATAAAATAACTAATGAAAGAGGAACGAAAACTGTGTTTACATACGCTCATGTAAAATGGTTTTATGGCCAATCAGAGCGCGCGTACTATTTGAATTATTTTATAATAAGAAATGTGTAATGTTTGCATGAATATGTCATTTACATTGTGTACAGTTATTGCACAAGTAAATCATACACCTGCTATTGGAGTGGTAAAGGACAGCCGCCACTCATCAGGTTTAGCTGAACTTTAAGACTGTGTACCACTTAAAAACTTGCATTAGGGTTAAGAGATTTTCAAAGTGCTTCAGGGAAACATGCTATCCTGCGTGGAAGAGAAACACGATTTAATCGAATATAACGATTAATTAACGAATGCCCTTCTTTATCTAGATATAGGTCATCTGTGCCTAATTCTATTTCATAGGGTAAACAGCTAAGCATTTTGTAATATAATAGCAGTCACGAGACATAAGCCAGCCTGCTATGCATGAAAAATTTTTAATCCAGGTTAATAGGTTATTTCTGACCAGAACTGCATAATGCAGTCCGCTATGTATCAGAGCAGCTAGCTCTCGAGCGATATTTAGGGCAGATTGTTCATTTCGCAGTGTGCAATATACCGGCATTCAAGTGGTATATCGGGCAGCTTTAGCTATGCATTTCAGAATTCAAGTCGTGGGGAATTTCTTACCTTTACTACATATCATGACAGATGGAGCTATGCATTTCGCAAAACACCAGGAATTCGAATCAAGTTATAAGCTACAGGTTATTTCTTATGTCTACTGCATAATGCAGGTAGTAATGCAATTTGCAAAATACCATAAATCAAACACTGGGGATTGACAGCTAAGGACCTAATAGGCTTGTGCCTGGAAGAAATTGGATTGCCGGTATGTTACTAAAAACGAACTAGACACTGTGACATGCAATCTGTTAAAGCGTGGTTCTATTCAGCAGTCTTCCTGAATGGATTTACACCACAAAGAGATGACAAAATATCAGTAGGTTATGAGTTTCTCTTAAGGTGGATTTTTTTACAATAACACTTTGAAGCGAACACTTAACTGAAAATGCCTTTGCCGCGAGAGATCACTGCAAAAGTGTGATTTCGATCTATCTCTGAAAAACACACCGTAAACCAACATTTTTTTTTAAGTTTTATCAATACTTCTCAAAACGAACACTTCCCTAATTAACTTTAGAGATCGGAAGAATGTGACAGTTTCGAAATTGAATTTTCTTCGTGAATACTTGACCTTAAACTCAATATAGCAAGCGTGATATCAAAAAGCAGTCTTGAATATCCTTTGTAAACCATTGTACCAGGCGAGATGTTAATGACTTCCAAAACACAAACTATTGCCTGAACCTCCCGCATATGATAACAATTTTCTATATCAGTTTCATATTCTATTTCAAATCTAAAAAATCTGTTCTCTCGTCATTTTCTTTTACAAGTATTGTTGTCAGAAATAGCTATGATGATATTAAAGATGATAATAATTAAGATTATTTATCGGAAAATCCCCGCGAAACGCAGGAAGCTCTCAAAACTGATTCATTCCCGTATAACAATCTCAAGTAACAAACGATCGCTCTGTTAACTATCAAACTTTCCCTAGTTCCTTTATCATTGTCTGTTTTTTGTTGGCGAATCTGATTCGATTTTTCATGGATCATTTATTTTTTAAAAACATCATCACCGGCGTTGTCTTGAAGAAGAGCGATTATTCTTATCGTTTTGAGCAAAAATATCTTAAACCGGCGAGGGCTGACTATTAACGTAATTGGATCTGACCGGTGTTCTGACTGAGTCTTCCCTTTGTTTACAGACCTCTCGTAATCCTTGACCGCTGACTAAATCTGTTTGCTTGTATTATTCTGACACCAATCACAGAGCTTTCAGTAAGACACAAAAAATGGTGGTTCCCTGAGAGGGTAAGCTACGCATGCTCGTACCACTTATTTCTTTACCCTTAAAGATTTTCTACCCCTAACAAATTCCGTTCCAGTGCTGAACAAAGAAGAAAGATCTGCAACTCGAGTATCTTAGTTTATTGTATCTCACGCCTTTAGATTGCAAGCGGAAAGGAAAACATTGGAAAATAAACCGTCAATATATCGCAGCTTAAATCATCGGATCATAGCCTCATCCACCCACTTTTGCGTCTGTGAATTTCCACTGACCTTTTTTGGGTTGAAAATCAATCGGGAAACACTTAGAAAACGAGACGAATTATCAAGGCACGCAACGTGAGTTGAAAGAGTTTTATATAAAAACCTTGAACATAGCACAAATGTGATTCCATTGGTAGTTGCTCGCCATTTCTCTCATCTTATTGGCTATATTATAATTATGTGCTGGGTCAATGACCTTTTCAACACTTCCTCAAGTAAGAAAAAAACTGACCCCCCTTGTAGAGGACAAATATATAGAAGGATTAACAGAAATCAAAAGCTCGCGTGTCAGTCGTTCTGTATAGAATTTCGATTTTTTTTTGAAAAGTTAAGATCCTTGAGTTTATCTTTTCCTCCACTGAAATTAGTATTAATACATAAGATCAAAAGGTAATCCACACCTATTCGAATTTTCTTTTAGCGATAAATTCCATCTTTAAAATAAAGCACGTTATGTAAGAATCACAAAGGCCATGGAAGTTTTTAACTGAGGCGGCCAATCCTTCATGGATCGACTGAGACCTCACAAACAGCTTAAAACTGAAGAGGAGCTCTGAAGGTAAACAGAATAAGATGACACTGTCTGGCCAACTTTAAATAAATTTGGTTAACACTTACGATCTTATCTTAAATCGTAAGAATTTGTCTACTTTTCATCAATTACTCAAAAACCATCATTGTTTGTTAACTTGCCATGATTTTTCCAATGAAGTCATCGACTTTTGCTGAGCCCCACTTAACTGAATACATTAGAGGCCATAACTAACGAAAAAAACAAAACAAAAACAGAATTAGCCATAAAAAACTTTGACCTGGCATCTTAGGAACTGTTGCGTGTTTTGTGCAAATACTTCAGAATTTTGTTCGACCTTTACCTGCCTCGCATGTGACGTAGTGGTGTTTAATGAGATCTTGTGGATTATTATTATTGAAATACCTGCACGGTCAAAACTCTAATCAATAATTAGGTTATCAGACAGTAATCCTGTCTACAGTTGCTGCTGAAAGTTTGAAATCACGTGCAATAAAATGAAAAAGCTAAGCAGAGCTTCGCCAACAATATTTCATGACTAACACATTTTACGAACAGAAGGCTGCCGTAATCTTGTGCAGTACATAAGCTGCGAGATTTTTATTAAAATACTGATGGAACAACTCTTTCCTTACTGAAAGTTTTTCGTATTTTTAATACCGAGTTGACATTCGATATTGCTCTTATTTTTTTAGTCTCTATTTCCGACGAATTTTTGAAAGCATTTTGATCACAAGAAAATCCACTAAACGGACCCCAGGAGAGGTTTTGTTTACAAAAGTGTTGAGTAATGATTTTTGGTAAGTATTTAACAAGGATTTAAGGCTAAACTAAGGGATACGAGAAGAAAGCCTAACTGCTCCAATACTTCCTATCACTTGAGGTACGCTAAATCTCTCTGTACCTTATATTTTGGGTCTGAAGACCCAGTAGGCACGTTATCGATTACCTAGCTCCAGTTTTGATGCTGATGTTGTCTAAAATGGCTTCACACCTCAGCTGGTACGTAAAGGATAAGAAAGTGATGTTGTTTACAAAACTGTCCTTTAATTCATCTTGTTTTATTTTATATATATTCACACAAGCTACTATTCGAAGATTTGAAGGAAACGGTCCGGAAATAAGGCTGGAGCCAGAGGGGGCTTTATGTATAATTAGTATTCTTATTGTAAGGAGAGTTCATTCAAAAATCATTTTTCACTCCTTTAGGATCTATGCTCTATATTGGTCCTCGAAAAGTATGATAAAATTGCGATATATGCATGAGAAAGAGGCAAAATAAGTCTCGATCAGCATTCCAGTCTGAAAACACAGAATATAGCTGGCTGTTATGCAGGTGTTGATTGAAGACTCACAACTGGTCTTTAACATTAGTTTGCGAGAGTTGTTTTGATCAAGTCTGTGGAGGTTTGAGTTTTTCAGTAGATCAATCTGAAAGGCAACCACAGCAAATGTCTACCGATCTGTACGTAACCACACACTTGCTTTGAATCTTGTCTCTGCACATTCCATAGAGATTATCTGTGTTTTATTCACATAGGAAAAAGTTAAGTTCAGAGTCTTGGCTATTTTTAGCCAAAGAAAGTTGTACCTTTTCACATGAAAATACGAGGCGAGTAAAAAGTCCACCGACACGCTTCAATTCGTTGGAATGCCTTGGCATGTCTCGCTTAAAAGGACGCGATATATTTCGTTTATCTGGAGACTTGTTTTGAAATTGGTTGTGTATTGAGTTTGAATTTCGAGTCATCGATAACTTTGTTATTTTAAGCATGTGAGATGAGGATATATATTTCTCATCCATGTTAACAATGATGATACTAATTCAAAAAGAATGAATGTTTATTTTACTCTTAGTGGCATTCTCTGTGGTGCACCCAGGATTCCGTAAGAAAAATTTCCAAAAAGACTCGCTGAAACTTGAAGGCTTTAGTCGTGCAGACCTAAGGGTCAAAATATCAGTCTTTAAGTCGAATTATGTCTAACAAGCTTATCAAAAGTCTTAAAAGACTTATCTGAAAAGTTAAACGTCTTAGACATTTGAACGTCTTGTGGAAGTCATAGGACTCGCCTGTGTCACCCGCGCCGAGACAAAGCTTTCTTTTCTTTTCTACTCTGACTTGCAAGGTACGAACCCTCAATTGTTTCAAATCCTGTGCTAAAAAGCTTTGTAGTTAGGGCTATGAAATCCTCTTCCCGGCCAGGAAGTCAGGGAAAACCCAGACATCAATATATGTGTTGTGTGTGGATCAGATATTCACTACAGTAAAGCTTTGTAGAGGGAGTTAGACTCTTGGCAAAATCTGCAGCTTTGTGTGACTGTCTTCAGTCTCTAAGTTGAAATTCAAGAACATTTTGAGGCCACCCTAGTCTAAAAAGGAGCAAGAAAAGGTGACGGGCATGTTGATATTGTTTCTATTATCACGCGGGCACACAAAACGGAGTCGAATTTCCCCAACAAAGTTCAATAATAATGAAAACCCCTAGCACTGACATGGCTGAATTTTGGTGGTAACTAGGGTCACATTTTTTGATGTGAGAACTATTGAAGCTAAAATGTTTAGATAACAACAGACGAGTTATACCTATTCAAATCAATATGATCTAGTAAAGTTATTAAGCCACGTTGTTGAAACTGCCACGAGTTTATCTTTTAGGGGAAATAATGGAGAATGAGGCGAATAAAAATTGAAAGGAAGGAAGGAAGGAAGGTAGGATCAAAAAAATGAAACCACAGTCAGGTGCATCTTAGCGTGGTCGGACATTATTGTGACTTTATCTAATCTTTATCTCTTTACTAACTCTTCAGTTTATCTTTTTAATATTCTTCATATTTGTTTTCTGATGTTTATCATCACTAACCCGCCGTCATTTCCACGGAGGTCATCGCTCTCCTGACCTGCTTACCCTGTTGTAGTTTTATCTTGGCCAGTCACAGTTCAGACACTATCCAAAGATGTCTTACAAAAGTAATTGTGTTTAGACTCGCTTCGTTCCTGTGTCTGTCTATCTTTAATAGTCGACGCTATCAATTTTCAACTGTTTGAGTACTGGGTTAAAAAATATGAACCTGTAGATAATTGGATAGACTAAAATCTTTGCAGATGAGATGGCAAAACTGACCAAATATTGTAAACACACGGAATTTGATATGAACTTCACCCTTGATACATGTATCCCTGACGTAAAGTGGTTATCCACGTTTCACATGTGTGACTTGTTAACAGCGCATTAGACTCAATTTTGGAGACGACAGGTTCGTACAAAGGCCAAGACAATCCGTCGTCACATGATCATCAAGTTTTTTTTCTTATTAACATGCAAGTTTGCCGTTGAAGGCCTTCCTGGTCTATGATAGTTGAATTTGCAAATTTCTAGAGATAATGGTTCACTTTATAGTTTGTTATACATGAACTCTTGGCAAATAATATTTGTGGAAATCAGTATTAACCATCGAAACGGATACAAAAGTAATTAAATTATGTTCAAATGATTTGAAATCATTGCAAAAATATTGTGCTTTTACTACACGAGTTCATGTTTCCAGTAAAAGAGCCTCTTCTGGGATCCTGATCTTTTGAGTTGCCGGCTACCCCATTATGACAAGTAAATAATAACTTAAGCTTAAAACATAAATCTTGCCACATGTTTTTCCTGTAATAACCAAAAAGGGGATTGAAAAGCTTCTAGTTCTTGGCATGTTCCTTTCACGAGACTTCCTAGTCAAGGACGATATACTCGTATATTTAAGTTGTTTACAGATCTATCATTAACACATGACTATACCTACCTACATTTCGGCTGTTTCCTAAATGAATTTTCCTTCAATAAGTATTTCTGTATGAAACAGAGGACAAGCGTAAATCAAAGGCTTTTAGAATAACACTGAATATTAATTGGTCGTTTGCTTGCATTTAGAAGATGAGAGTTAATTATAGCGTGTATATAAGTAATGTTACTAAAAGAGTTGACCAGACTGAAATAACACAATCCGCAGAGTTCATTATCCTGGAAAATATTCGAACAGGTATCAATTGATTTCTTTGTGCTGAGTAAAGTTCCAAGGATTAAGTTTTTCAGTCTTAAGAATACTTTAGAAAAACATCCTTACCAGTCGTTTGGTTGAATTCTGATTTCATACGATTTAATCTATCGATCATTGATACATTAAGTTTATTTAATTCGCAAGTTTGAAACTACGTCAAAACTGTAAGGTACAGGATACAACTTATATTTTAATCATCCAACGTAAGACTTAAGCTCAATTCTCGATATTATCCATTTTAATGGACCAAAAAAAAACCTCTTACTTTCGCTAAAATCTTTTATTTTCCAAACAGTTTGGCTTATGCTTTAAACACCTCTTTAAAACCCGAGGTACAAAAAATAAAACTAAAAGAGTAATTCAGATTGTGAAACATTTTAAATGTGCACCTCATAGCGATATTTTGGAAGGCAGCGAATTATCTAAAGCTCTGGACACCAGCTTCATGCTGATTTACGCTCTCATTGTAAGCCTTATCACCATCTTGGTCAGTTATACTTTGCAATGCTCGTCTAATACAAAACTTAAAAGCAAATTAGACAGTTAGCAGATTCAGTCACTAAAAAACCAGCAGATAGATACCTAAGAAGTAAACCTCTTTTGAAAGATCCATAAACGTGCCAATCATATTATTCAATGACATCTGACACCTTTCAGAGCTGTTTTGAGCAAACCATGCAGATACTTTGGAAATTCCCTATTTATTTTCAAAATGGAACCAGTAGTAGCTCTTGAAATATTGTTAGGATACCTAAGTTTTTTTCATCAATTTTTTTTTTTTAATTGACGGTACTTAGGATCTGACCGCCAGGCATGTTTCATTGTGAGTTTTTAGTTCCAGACATAACGCTTGAAATTTTACTTCAAGGATTAATTCTCGCTTTGTCAAAATACATATTTGTACAAATAAACACCAAAAAAATTATCCAGTATTCTTCGGATGCGACATTCTGGCCAATTGGGTTCGGAGATCTGTTAATCTGTAGGTGAACATTTGACAGAAACCCGAGGGGTTTGAGAAAACCCAGGGATACTCGTACTTTTGAAAGTTATAGCCTCATTAGTCCTGTCTGAGACACTTACCCAATCTGTGAGTATTCCAAAACAGAAATAAGACATCTCTAGGATATTGCAACGCTTCCATTATTTTGTTACAAGGGGTCTTGCCTTTTACATCTGCATCTTTTCATCTCAGATCACGCGACAGAACTTAGATACTTAGGAATGATAACTCTAAGCCAACTGTTTATACTTTGAGAAAAGGGGCGTCTCCACTTAATCACAAGAAATCTGCACGATCTCCGAATAGCCTACGACTCTGTCTGCTCTAAAGGTCGGCTAATTGAAAACTATTCCGGTTAGACGTGTTAACGGCATCGATGAAATATACCTTTGATTTATTATATTTTCTGTCCCTTATTGCAGACTCTATGGCGGTTCACATGGACTATAAAACATAAATCTCCTTGTTGTCAAACTCATGACTGTCCCCCCTTCCCCCCTGCTAGGTAGCAAGCTTTTCATCTGTGCCGGTAAATACCACTTACTGATAACTGCAGGATTCCACTCCACTGTCGGCAATAAGGGTCTGAACCAACGTCAAAACTGACACTAAAAGCCACGCCTATGGAAAATGTCTTAAAATAAGCATACTTTATTTATTTCAAATTGTTGCTTTTTTAAAGAGAATAGAAAATAAATTTTCCTGAAGTGATATGCACGTTACAAAAGCCATGGTTCTAATCTAGTTTGTGATTGGTCATCTTTATTCTCATATTTGCGCCTAATCTGCAGCAAGTCAGAACACAAAACATGCCAGCTTATAACTGATTGATTTACATTCTCTGACGAAGGGATTATTCCTAAAGTTGACAGTTTCCCAACTTGGCAGCGCAATGTGAAATACGAATCACTCCGCCCGAGATTAGCTGCATAGAGATAAAGAATTAGGAATTGGATTCATTGTAAACTTATTGTTACTTTTTCATCGGCTTCAAAAGTACGTTTCCGTTTCCAGACGTTTATGTTTGACCCAGTGAAAACGAGTTTCCTGCTGAGGTTCAAGTTCTTGAGGTAAAGCAATACTTGTTTATCTAAAGAAGGCTAGTTTTGGCTAAAAAAAGTCATTTGTATTGTTAATTGCAGTGGTTTGCTTCCTAGTTATCTTAGATAACAACACCAGATAAATCAAAAATTACGATGAACTGTTGATGGGGTGAAATAGCTTAGTAAATAGTTGATCTGTTTGTAAGAAAATGTTGACTTATCATCAGCAAGGGTGGTAAGAGGGGTGAGAGGTGGGTGAGCAAGAATCTAACAAGAAAGTAAATCACTTTAGCCATTAAAAACTAATTAAGAAGAGTATGATAATGTCTGAGCCAATAGTAGAAAAGAGACTGGGACCATTGGCGATGTTACCGGAATGTGCCGTTACTTGTGCTGATGTTTCGCAGTTTGACTCTGCTATTTCTACATGGTATCAAATTAAACAACCCTTTGTTGAAATAAGTAGGTATTATAAGCCTCAACTAAATGTACTGATATGAGTATTACAAATATACACATATGGTATGTACTATATGTATGGTCCTCACTATTGCCAGTTGAACTGGCTCAGGTGCAGTAACTTCTGTTCCTTGTTGACGGAATGCTTTAAAATCTTTGATGATACATCATGTACGAAATACTATTTACTTATTTACAATTTGGAGCTCATCGTCTGAAACGTGTCAGCTTAAGGAATTTTTTTCATTTTATTTGTTTCCTAGTGTCTCAAAAGATTGTAGATTCTAACACAAAGGGTATGTTGCCTTTCCGTGCACTGCACCACGCATAATTAAGAATGATTTCCGTTCATATTTCTCCAGTGAATCCACGAAGGTGTTAAATTAGTCACTTAATAAACTAACCTCCAAAAAATGATGATTTCTTGCCAAGGTAGTGAGCGGCTGGTTCCGTTTCACGCAATAAACTTTCTCGAAAGTGCTTTAAGTGGAATTATATAACATGAATCACCTTCAAAAGATGTCAATATGGAGAAGTTTTCATCTGGGTGTTTATTCAAGCCTGTAAAAGACTTCTTTCATAGATAGCAATGCATGCTTGTCAAATACGTGGGCGAGGAACAGTTGTATACTTCATTAAAATGAAACTGCCAGCTGATACTATGTGTGTACTTACCAGTCATCAAAATAGCTTTCACAGCATTTGTTTAGGAACAAGTTCTCCGTGACACTTGTAAAATCATAATACTTAATAATAGATTTTCAAAGGAGATATTAATAAACTTATTAACATTTTCACACCAGCTAAGCCCATGCTGGAAAAAACGGAGACACTTATGTCACAGCGAAAGCTCAGTAAAGCGACTGCCCTCCGACGGGAATTAAGTAATTAACGAGCTGTTAGCGTCCGTTTATGGGCAGCCAAGTTCCCACCAAATAAGTGTTTTGGCTACTTGTAACCTATTGTGCGTGGGATCGAGTGAGATGCTTTGAAGAACAATGTCCTCTAGTCAGACAAGCCAGTTATGTTTTGGCTCATGAAAATAACATCAATGACATGCGAGAGCTAGACTATAGTGACACTTTGTGGAGAACAAGCGTTGCCGTCGCTCATTCTCTTGTTTTTACTTTAAAATTGTTCATATTTTAATCGTTTCACGCCTTGGCCTGATGTCAAATAGTCTCATGAGTTTCCTTGCGGAAGCCATTTTGAATGGCGCCAAGTTGTTCCCGTTTTCAAAATAATTCGCGGTAAACGTAAGAATCCGCCCGTTAATGAGCTCATTTTTTTTTTTATTTCGGCGTGAAAGTGCTTGGGGAAGTATGGAATTCTTAATCTATGCGTTGCTGAGATATCCTTTAACGTTTTTACCGGAGTCGATACATTGTTGTTGAGAGTCAGAGTGCGTCTAATTGTATTACACGTTGATTAATTACCGCCGACACAATTAATGTGTCTCTTAGTTCTTCGTCGGCCATTTCCTGCCATTAATCACCACGTTTAAGAATCACCTGAGTGTTGCTGTTAAAATAATTTTAAATGTCAGTCTCATTCTACTGCATACATATGAAAAGATCGGTTAAATTCAGACAGGTCATCAGAAAGTTTCCGCATTTTGGTAGAACAGTTTTGGTTCTGACAGCTTTTCTAAGTGTGAGACTATCTCAACTTGTCAACGCCCTGCTGTGGGTTTTGTTTACGAGCATTTTTCGGGCGTAATGTGGCATGTTATCGATACAGACAGACCAACATTTGCAAAGTATACTTTGTTCGTGTGTAATTGTGTAACTCAGACCGTCTAAGAGGCACGCAGCTCTCACGGAAGATGTTTACTCTAAGTACAGTAGGAGGTGGGAATGTTTATCGAAAACACCCATAACGAAAAGTGTCAACAATCCAAATATCTGCACGTCGTGAAGAAATATCAAAGAAATTTTTCAAAGCAGAGATAGTTAGTATGTTAAAAAATTTTTGTATCCACCCCCGGGAAGCCACAAGCGAAACGTTTTTTAAGGCGAGCGGGTTTCGAAAGGTTTTGAGCCTGATTAATGAGCTGTGAATTAGTTTACAGACTGGGTGGTAATAAGGCTACCAGAAGTGATGAAAGGATTGTGTAATTGTTTAAATTTGAGCTTCACACCATACAGCGTGTTCTCACGCACCTTAATGATCTTGCAAGTCGTCTAAAGATCTTTCTGAACTAACCGAAGTGCGCACGCCGAAAATTGCTGTCGATCAAGTCAGTGATGACCGCTGTCGCTTCTAATTCGTCACAGTTTACTTTGAAAAGACTAGTTAACCACCGATAAACCCTGCATTGTGATATAGTTTAACCACCTCTCGAGCTAGCTCTCAGTAAGGAAATTCTCTACAAGTCAATTTTAAAGCCGCTTTGCAGTTATTTAAGCTGAATAATCTCCAAAACAAATCTTGGCTAGGGCACTATAATGCCACGGTTTCAGTTAAGTCGTGTTGAACAAGAGAATAGAAGCTTTGCCTCATGATCCGTGGAATATTCTAAGTTTGTTGCCCCAATCACCTGAAATACTTTAGTGATAAGTTATCGAGATAACTTTGCCACTTTATGGGGCATTTTATACAGATAAGAAGCGAAGGCATTTTGTGACATGTGCAAAACATAAGAATACACACTTTAATCACATCAAACAGATGAATTCTCTGGCGGCACATTGAAGAATTTTCTTTGTGTTTTTACCGCGGTCAAGAAGATAGATGACTTAACAGGAGCTCAGCTGGAAAAAATGTCCTCGCCTGTCCTCGCAGGAAATGCTTCTTTAGTATTTATAGCTCTACATGCAAGGATATGTCCTATTTCCGGCTAAAAATCTTGAAAACATTTTTACACCGCATTTCAAGACTATGTAAGCTATGAGTCAATTTTGACACCTTTCATCTGGCTTATGTGAAATCGCTTCCTAGAAACCTCTAATGGACTCGACAAACTTTCTGCTCACCTCAAGTGGGCAAATATTGGACCATTCTAATGTTAATGCTATCCTCCATTCATTTACTTTGTAAAGACTTTTATGAGCAGTTTTTGATTTGCGTAAATATCAGTGTCCAGGGAAACAAAAGATTTCGAACCTATCAATACACAGCTTGCCCCTCCAAAGATATCTCTGTTTATTGCCTCAGCGAGCCAATCAGGTGGCGCCAGAGTAATTTAATTTAGAAATATCGTATTACCTAGGAACCAATCCGAGACTTTATAATCACACGGGTTTTTGATAAAATCGCATCTTTAAACACAATCACAGTTCAACCAATTAGTGTATGTGAAATGGTCTTTGTCTCTGGGGCGTAACAAGAGAAAACGTTAATTGCTGCACAATAAATAATGTTCGATCGTTTTACAGGCTTGAGATGGTATAATCGCAACGAAACAGCCAAGCCTGGGTTACGTGTCTAAATCAAGTGGGCAGGAAGTCTTGAAAATCTCGGACACTTTGCAGTGGCGAAGGAAGATGAAATGCATGTGTCTGTTGTACCTCTTGCCGATCGCCTTCTTCAGGTTAACTGATTCTTGCTGCGTTGATTCTTCGAGCGGTCTCAAGAGAAAATGGGAGCTGTGGACACATCCAATCTTACGGAAACGTTCGGTGGATATCGCTCAAAAACGATTCCTCACGGCTTTGGGACTTGAAGATTTTCCAAAGCCGGGACGACATGTCATTCCGCACAAATTTATGTTGGAAATATATAGAAACTTATCTCGCGGAAACTACAAAGGGAATCAAAGTTATGATATGTTGCCGAGTACAGTTGTCGGAATTGTTGATCAAGGTCAGTTTATTATTATCTTGGAGGGTTTTTAGTAAGTGTTTGTCATTGTTTGTATTTGTTTTACGATGTTGCCAATCTCGTATTTCTTTAGTTGATTTAAGTTTCTTATGTGAGCGATTAATTGATTCTCCTTGCCTAATTTCCTCTCTTCTTTGTCAATTTTTTGCAGAACGCGGTTATAATTTAGCGACCCCGACCAGTCAACAAGTGTTTCATTTTAACGTTAGCAAAGTGCCTTCTCGGCAAGCTATTATCGATGCCGAGTTACGAGTATTAAGATTAGCGACAGTTAAAGAGAAATCCTTTACTAGTAAGCACGGCACAACTTACAGAGCAAAGCTTTATGGCAAGCGCATCACAGACATGCCAAATTTAACTCCGTTCGAGCCTTCATCGCACCACGACCTTCTCGATTCACTCGAATTTGACATTTCTGATGGCTTAGAAGAAAACTGGAACGTGTTCTCTGTCAAGAAATCGATTGAAAATTGGCAAAAAGCGAGAGAAAATTTTCACGAGTTAGAGTTACGCGTGGAATCTGCGCTGAGTGGCGATCTCATCCCACCGGAAGAACTGGGGTTTTCTAAAACCGGGCGCCTTTATAACAAGCACGCTCTCCTCGTGGTATACGCAGCTGATCGAAAGTCTCCTGATCTTATCCGGAAGCCTGTCTCGAACGAGAACAAAGCCGTAAGTAACGCAATATCACCGGGAAAAAGTGTTGACCCAAGACAGGACAAATACACCTCCGATCTTGAACACAGCCGGGTACGGCGAGACGCGAGATCCAAATCCGGGGGAAACATGAAGAAGCGGAGCCGAGGAACGAAATCAAAGCGTCGGCGAAAAAAGGATTCCTGTCGCAGGAAACCTTTGTATGTGGATTTTAACCAGCTGGGCTGGTCTACCTGGGTTATTGCTCCGAGAGGGTACAGTGCGTATTTTTGTCAGGGACTTTGCGAGTTTCCTATAGACAATCATTTAAAACCTACTAACCACGCAACAGTACAAACGATTCTGAACTCTGTGGCTCCTTCACTCGCTCCTCAAGCCTGCTGCTCACCCAATAAATTCAGTGCAATTAGTATTCTTTTTATAGATACAAGTGACAATATTGTGTATAAGAAGTACGAAGAAATGGTGGTAGAGCGATGTGGTTGCAAGTGAACCGACGGCAGACATGCACACGATGTAGTGAGTGATAGCCGTTTCTAACCCTCCCAGCTCAGTTACAGGTGCTGAGTTCTCCATGCTCAGGCAGCTCGCGCGGCTTAAGTATCACTGTTTTTATTAAATCATCACCTCTCCGGGAGTTTAGCGCTGAAATTGTGTACTATTGTCACCATCCGGCGCTATTTCAGAGTGTTCTCGAGCTCTTCGCACACTTTCAACACTTGAGAGTACATTTCCCGCATATATCTTCCACGTTGCGGGGTCAGAATGTTTCATGCGCAAGGTCGGGCTGTGTTTACTCAATTTCTTGAACACCGAGATGATTTAGTTTGCATAATCCTATTAAAATTATCAACGATATTGTTTATGAACTCCGATGGATTCTCTAAGATGCCTCTGGATAAACTGACAGCCAGACAAGTCTCTTCCGAAACCACTGAAAAGGACTAAGCTGGCGTATTTCAGCCGTTTGACGGTGAAACAATGTTCACATCCAAAGATTTTCATGTATATTAACTGTAATATCGTCATAGATTATTATTCCACTCCAGGAGTTTTATCACCTCTTTATTTTTATCAGATGACAAACGTCTTTTTATGTCAAAAATGACTACACATCATTATTATACTGAAAAGTATTTATGCGTAATTTTCCCTCTCGTATTTTGTCAATAATTTTCATAGATAATGGTTTGTTGGCGTTGGTGAATCGGCTGCCCAACCAAACAACAATGACGAAGTTTATCCATGATTAGCGAACAATCGATTTCTGCGTTTTATTACCTTGGTCGAATGTAAATACTGAATAAATTATTTAAGACTTCAAAAGGAACGTAGAAAAGGTCCGTGTTGCAATTGTTGAACTATTTTTATCTCCGAAAACGTAGACAGCTCCGTTAGTGTAATAGAAATTATTGTCTAAAAATAAAACGACGCTTAATTCAGCGTGTGGGTATACATGTGTATATGAGTGTTGGGAATCGTGTAACAACTACTTGCTGCGAAGTGACAATTGCTATGTAATGAATACAGTTTTTTTCAAGCCGAACCAATTGTACTCTCCACGTTATCGTTGGCTATTTGACGAAAAAAACCGTTTTCAACGTGCTCTTTTAAAAGTGCTTAACTCGATCCAAGGGGGAGTGGAGGCGTACAAAAGCACCTTACATATTTGAGGATAAATTGCTAAAGTGTGCCGTAACCGCAGCATCGTCTGTATCACCATTATCTTCCACACCGGAAAGAGAATATGCAAGGATAGATAACTGAAATGAGAGATGTCCTACACTCGATTTGATGTAATTTTACTATGCGATAACAAAGTACTAAAGGTTATCTTTTTGTCGCAAGGAAACTGCAGGGTCCTTATCTGAAGATAAGCCTCAGTATGTACAAAGGAATTCTTTTGGCTCGTGATAAAAGAGGCCTGTATACCTCAAATCAGCAGTACAATTGAATCCGAAGTATGTCGTTAGAGCACGGCAAAGAAAGAATTCATTTAAGAGCTTTAAAGTCAATGATTTTATTGATCCTGCAGCAAGGAGTTAACGATTATTATTTGGGCTTAAAACTCATTCCAACACAAAGCTTTCACAAAACAAAAGGAAACATATTTCTCTTCAACGTAAACAATCAGGGTTGACCAAAAAGATAGTATATCTTCCTTGGCCGTCAACACTCTCAAAACATTCCGTGTTTTTTCGATGAAGTTGAATGTTTGTTTCTGGAAAGAAGAGATTGAATAGCATACTGGCATTAATGAAATTCTCAGCATTTGGGTCGAACATGCCTTCCCGTCTTCAAATAAAGTACCCTAATTGCTCATTTAACTTTGTTATTTCACCAGAGTAAGAGCTTTTTCCCAAAACATTTCTTAATTACTCGTACACAACCCCTTAACGGCATGAGGTCTCAGAGTTAAGTAGTGTCTCTTGCGTCATGCAATCACGATACACCAAAAAGGGCATTCCCAAAAACCGCCTTTTTGTGTTAATATTCTTACAAACGTAAATCTCAAGGAAAGGGTGAGAATTTCTGGGCAAAACGCCATGAAAGAGTGGGCAATTTGGAGCAGATTTCTGTGATTCTATGCGAAGATTTCTTAAAGTGGACAAAGATTTCTTTCTAGGGGGCATTGTAAACTTGGCTCTTAGCACTAAGTAGTCGCACGCGGACATAATAAATGACCTCTATGGCTTAACCCTTTCACGAAATGAGACACTAAATGCAAGAACCATCAACCACTGTCAACACAAGTGTGTAAAGTTTTTTCAGATAATATTGACTTTTTTGCACTTCATTCCAGTTACAATTCTCTTTAGACAAGATCCAGTCTTCTTTTTCCTATTTTGTACTTTGAGTTGTGTAAAACTATGCCTATCCAAAAAACAAAATGCCGATGTATGTGAAGTCCTACTCTAAGCTTTCCATTTAATAACAGCAGAAATCAAGTTTCATATTCCAGAAATACATAATATGGCAACACAAATAAACAGCCATTTGTCTTAGATTTCTCTTTGGAGTGTCATTGAAGAGTCTGGAGGTGACGGCAGAGCGATTGCCTTGCATTCTATGCAACACAGAAATTGTTTCTAAGGCTCAGATGGTGCGGAGACGTGAGAAAGAATTTTAGAAAAATTACCCTTTAAAGCCAAGAGAGAAAGGCGCTGCGTGCCTTAAACGTTTTGTTCTCAGCAAAATTCTCGAGAGTATATTGAAATTTGCGCTCGTTTATGGAATAATAAACCAGAATATACAATTTTGTCTATGCTTATACTCAAAGTTTCAACTCATTCTTTCTGTTTGACTCAGTAGAGAGTAAGTAAAACATAGATTCCTACTGAAGGATTACTGTTACCTTGCAGATAGTTTATCGGAACTGCGGTTCAATGTCGTCCTCTTTCTCGAGTTGAAAAAGAAATGTCAAATCGAAGTATCTGTTTACAGATATAATTTTATAAGACGGTACAAATTTTCTAGTTTTGAAAACTCTCGATAAACTTGAATCAATCTCCAGTATAACCACAATGGGTTCAATACAGCAGTTATTTCTCAGGGCTATGGAGATCTTTGACCTCTCATAAGAAAAGGGAAACTGTAGAAGTCGGTGAGGTAAAAGGACAAGATGACTCAAAACGGATTGACAAAAATTTTCAATTTCCTTTTTAATACCGACGTTTCTATGAAATTCAGTGGCTCTTTGCAATCCGAAATGGCAGACCATCATCACCTCTGTTTATTAAAAGGAATTACCGCACTAGTGAGAAAAGGAGCGTTGTTACTAACACATAATTGAAGGAATGTTAATTTCTCCTAACAGAATCGACGCCTTCGGAAAAATTAATGAAATTAAAAGTTGCGATGAATGATTTTGTCTTGTTATCCTTTTTGCATATTTGAACAAACTTGGCAATTGTCAAATGAACTTGCATCATCCTATAGATATAGAATCATGGGAGATTTGACCAACATCTAAAGATACTTTCTTAAAACTGTGGAAGTTTTTTGCAGGATTTGACTCGGTTCTAAAGATTTCCATCATAAAGGGTTCAGTTCCAAGCCTTTCAGAAGCCGAAATCAATTAATCAGTATAATGTCTATTTTTAGGTACTCGCTCTCACGGCACTGAAAGTCAATTTTCTGTAGTGAATGATCTGGAGAAATTGAAAATGAACTACAACTTCACGATTTTGTTTTATAGCAAAAGCTTGTTTTATCAAGAACTATATTGCAGTTTACGCTCATCTAGATACATTTGAAAGGCTAAAACAATAATCTTCTGTACCTTGTGAGAATATTTCAAAATAGTGCATGTTCCATTGGACCTGAGTGAAAGATCTGCATGATTTTCAGTCGCCCACCGCACACGTAATAATCTTTTGATGATGTCAATTAATTACGTAAGATATTTACTGTTCTGTATATCAACACAATTTATGACAGCCCATTCAGTTCAGAGTTGTCAAATTATATGAAGTGTATAACAAACACACTAAAACAAGTGAACGCTTAATTAAATTACTATCAGTGGGTAATTTTGTGTAAGAGCACTTTGGACTTCTGTCAGCAGATCACATATTCGTGGTTTGTTGACAGCAGAATTTCAATAGATGTAGTAAAAGTGTCTTCGAGGAGGCCTTAAGACATACAAAAACATGCCAAAAAATCTTAATCTTTCATTTTTTTAAATTTAACATAAGTTTATTAATCCTTCAGCGCACGCACTAACGAAGATTTCCCTTAACAGGGTCAGGCCCTGAACGCCCCTTTATCCTATTTACCTGTTCAAGAATTTCTAGCTCTAATTCTTAGTTCTAAGGAAAACAAATAAGACACACAGAATAGTGATTCAAGTGTGAAAGCCGTTTTTCCGTATCGTATTTAACTTCGATGAACAATGAAGGAGATCTGCTTCAAAGAGTCATCGAGAAAAGGGAGTTGTGTGACGATAAGGAGGTTAGCTTTCTTTGTGGTGATCGTTCCACCAGCTAAATTTGATTTGTAAGACAAAGCCTCCAAACCATGGACAATTCTGGGGCAAGCCGTTGTCCTAAACATACCTGTCTATGTTTATCCCGATAACAATTTATTCGAGTAACTTGAGAATTTATCCTTCGTGACAAAATTCATGTTTTGTCGGCAAACTCTAGGATTACTTGGTGCAATCTTACTTTAAGTTGTAAATTGATTTAGTGGCCCCTTGTATCTCGAGAAGAGAACTTTGTACTTAATTGTTCACGAAGGAGTGTTGAAAAGGTGTTTAGTGTTTACATAGTTTGGCTCAAATACAGAAAATAAAATTAAGATTACTACAGAGGGGTTAGATGAATTTGGAATGTTCTCAAGTTTTGTCAATCGTAGCATGTGGCGCGCGCCTAATGATGAGACGATCTCGGGTACTTTTACAAGAAATTTGATTGAATGTGCCAAAGAAAAAAATTATATGACGATGCAAGACAGCTTTCTGCTTAAGTGCAATTCTGTGAAAGCAGTACTAAATCTCCCATCAGTTCAACCTCTCATGAACAACCAAATCGAAGCCTGTTAACTCTAAATCCCATCTACAAAGGGAGTCACGGAGCAATGCCCTCTTAGGTATGAAATCTAAAGCCAACTCGTTCTGAGCTGAAAAAAGAAAGTCCCTCTAATATATACATGTATGTACATCTCTTTTTTCTTCCACTCGGGAAATTTCATAATGTAACTGAGACACCTTGCCTCGTCATGTTTTCCGAAGTACTGTGGGGATCAAACGCAGAAATTTATCCTCATGACTTACCATAAACACCTGAGATAAACTAATAGTAAATGTTTTCAATAATTCGTTAAGAGTTTCAAGATCATTGAGACGGGTGTACCTCCATTGTCTTTAAGGGTGCGATGACATTTACTTTTTAATTACGTTCCACAAACTTTCTACATATCGTGATGTTGATTGAGGCTTCTAATTGAAAACTACATGGGATTATTGGTGCTTTTTTCCCAGGTTCTGATGGCACCGACTAATCAGTTTACTATCATCATTATCGTCCGGTATTTATATCGAAATACCTTCTTTTTGGACAACGTGGATTTACGTCATACGAACGTCCCCCACAAAGTTCTAAGATGACGGAATAGGAAATAACTTTGGTCTACAGCACGAAATCATTAATTCAAACCAAAAGCAGCCTTCTTCCTCCTCATTCAGTTTCCTCTTCCTCAGACACATAAACACACATTCTCGGACTTTGTATCATGCCCTTAGAAATTATAGGCGCAAGAAGGACGCACTTAGGTGTTGTTAACGTTCTCCTTGCACAATGGCTGAAGTGCATGGACAAAGACGTTCCTTTGCTCTTCTAGCAAATGTAAGGCGAATGTGGGTTACGAATAATCTATGGTTGGTGCGGAGATTTATGTAGCGGGGCAAAGGGACAACTTACTATGAGATTCTTCCTTCTTTA